GTGGAAAAAAGGGGTTTACACAAAAGTGATTTACACAAAAGTGATTTAAATTCGCCGAGTAGCGTACTCAAGGGAAGCGTTTAAAGTTAAAACATAATTAGGCCATTCAAGTGTGTGCGTGTGTATTTTTAGTACACAGCCGACCCACGGCACCTGGGTCTGCCCCGTGACCTGTCAGCGGGCATTTGACACTTCACGTGGCCTTATCGTGCACATAGCCTGGCACAAGCGCCGTGGTGACATCACCGCTACTTCGTGGCGAATGGCGGTTGTTGTTGTTTTTGGTAGATGCAGTGTATAATGGGGTCGAGTTGGGGGTGTAGGGGTTGGCGAACTACACTATGAACCTGGCGACCCAAGTCTGATTCCGGGTCACGACTAACATCAGTGGAGAAGTGATATCAGATATGGTACGGCATCTCCCCCCCCCCACCCCATTCCACAAATCTGCAGACGAATGTGGTGAAGTATGGTCAAACTAGCCGCCCCATGATATGGCATGGGGAAACCTTCACCCAGCTGTGGATTGACAAAGAGATGTAAACAAATGATTATGCTTATTATACTCATATACGAGTACGTGTAATATAGGGACTCCTCTACTTACGAACGAGTTAGGTTCCAGAGGTCTGATCGTAAGTCCAACTTTACTCCTGTCAATTCCAAACATGTTGTATGGCATATACACTAAACACGGGAAATGGCTTTAAAAGTTGTATAATCTCCTGTAGTTGTAGATGACACTGGTTCTTCATGTTATGCAGATGTAGATGCCACAGGTTCTTCGTTGTGCAGATGCCACTGGTTCTTCATGTTCTGCAGATGTAGATGCCGCTGGTTCTTCATGTTCTGCAGATGTAGATGCCACTGGTTCATTATGTTCTGCAGATGTAGATGCCACTGGTTCTTCACGTTCTGCAGATGTAGATGCCACTGGTTCTTCATGTTCTGCAGATGTAGATGCCACTGGTTCTTCATGTTCTGCAGATGTAGATGCCACTGGTTCTTTATGTTCTGCAGATGTAGATGCCACTGGTTCTTCATGTACTGCAGATATAGATGCCACTGGTTCTTCATGTTCTGTAGATGTAGATGCCACTGGTTCTTCATGTTCTGTAGATGTAGATGCCACTGGTTCTTCATGTTCTGTAGTTGTAGATGCCACTGGTTCTTCATGTTCTGTAGATGTAGATGCTAAGTTCCCTTTGGTGGTCATGTTTCCTCTCGATTCTCTTGAAAAACTTACCAAGAGATGTCTGCACAGTTGCTCTCTTCTTCTTTTCATAAACCAACTTGTAACAGGCAATAACATCGTGAACAGCTGCAACTGGACATACGGACAGGTTTGTTCGTATCTCTGAAAGTTCGTAAGTAGAGGAGTCCCCGTATCATTTTTTTTCCAAATCTTTCGTTCATTAAAAAAAACGCTTAATAATGCTTAGTGAACTTTGAAAATAAACTGCAGTAAGTTATTCTAGATCTGAAGCTTTCGTGACTGCAAGGATTGTTTTTTTTCGGTAAAGTCACGTAGGTAAAAAGTAAAATAAAAATAAATGAAAGCAACTAAATTAAATCACGACGTTTCGGAGGCAACACAAGCTTCCTTCATCAGGTGTAAAAAAGGCAGCAAATGTTTTTCAGCAGGTGCTTTGCCTTCCTGGCTCCACCCACACCCCCCCATGTTGCGCCCGTCTTCCCTGGCTCCTCCCCCTCCTCTTACCCTATATAACAGTCTATCATCACAAATAGCTCTCTCTACAGTTATTTTTGCTGTGCCTTTTTACACCTGATAAAGGAAGCTTGTGTTGCCTCTGAAACGTCGTGATTTAATTGTTGTTTTTCATTTATTTTAATTTTATTTTTTACCTACTTGACTTGACCGGAAAAACCAAAGAGTATGCAGTAAGTTATATTAATACATGTGCACGTGTTGCACGTAACAGGTTCACGTGACCCCTGCAGCCACGAGCGTGTATCGTCACGTTCGCCGCAACAGAACACATTTTTAAAATAGATTTACACAGCTGTTATGTTCAGAGTAAAGTAACACCACTTCCACCGTGCATTTGACTCCTTAAATACCGCACAAAATTATTATAAATACACTGACTAAATTAATAACCCATGAAAAAAATTGGTTTCACACAGTGGCTATGTTCAGAGTAAATATAAACACCACCACCACCCATCACCACCACCGTGCAAATCACTCCTTCACTACTGGACAATATTATAATAAATACACCACGGATAAATTAATATAAATGCATGAAAAAAAACCCACTTCAACACAAGAACATGACACGCGACAAGAGACTTTCGGAACACCATTATAAAAATTGTCACGCTGTCTAACAAAAATATATAAACTGGCCTGTTGTACCCCACTGTTATCTTCTTAAGGCCCTGCTGTACCCAGGAGATTGCTTCATTGTTTTGATTCGCTGCCCATAAACCAGATGCCGGTGGCGAGACATCGATAAAAATAAAGTAAAACACTTTCTGTGGGATAAAATGACAACAAGCCCGAACCACACAACGGGCATTGTTTTGCGAGCCAAGACCAGACCAGGTGCAGAGACAGAATATTCAATTTTCACCCGCTGCGCTAAAGTTTCATCCCAGAGATGTTACGCAATTATGTGGTATTTTGTGGCTTCCGTAAAAAAAACAGACATTGCATTTAACGATTATTGTCACTACTGTGGTGGACCACAGTATTTACGAACCATTTTTGTTTACAATGACCATTATATATTTATTTTTGTTTATTTAAAAAAAATATATATAAAAGTGACATTTCCAAAAAAAATTCGCATAAAAAGAGGAAAATCGGATGGCTTTAAAAAAAAAAAGTATCTTGTGCTCTCTTGACAGATTCATGGTGGTTGCGAATATACTTCTAATTTTCAAATTTCTACGGCAAATATAAAAAAATTCTAGGCGGTGATCAGTTCACCGATCACAGAGAGATGACGGTGATCTGAGTCAATTGAATTCGGACGCTCGGAGGTGGACGTCTAAGATGCATTTCAATGAACCAGAGGCAGTGTTGCGCATGTAGATCCAGTCTTTATTTACAGCCTCTTTGGCAGTCCACTGCTGAATGAAAGTCTCTCCACGGGGTTTTTTTTAGCATACTGCAGCATGCTTTGGCGAGGGGGGTGGAGAGGGGGGTCCAGGAACGCTCGCCACTGATGTCAGCCGTGTACTCAAGGTCACGGTTGGCTTCGTACGGCGCGAAAGAAGTTGAACAGACATGCATACGCCGGGTTCGTCATGCAGCAACGCTAACCGTTACACCGCCACCACTACCCCCAATGCATCTTAGCATTGCATCAACAGTCAACCAGCTGGAGTAAAATGAGCTTCAGCAGTAAGGTTTTAATTATGTGATATGTAAAAAACGGAATTGATCTTATTTTCAAACAGAAGCGATGAGTAGAGACCAATGCAACGCATCGAGGTGATGATGGCTACTGCAGGCACTCGGAGTCTATGTCACCTCTCCTCCTGTATCCTGCATTGGAGAGACATTTGGGGAAATGGCAGTAGATGTATTTATAAATATATTCTATAGCAGTCAACGCGGAAAGGAGTTGGAAGGTGAAATGAAACCAAGATATGTATGAAGAGGCAAGGCCCTGAATTTCTCATATAAGGGTGATCAGTTATAATCTGTGATATGACAAAACTTGTTAAATATATATTTAACATTTTTTTAATCAGTCACATATTACATTGCACCACTGACATATCAAGGCAAGCAGCGATGCATTAGTGCACAGCAGTAGCCACTACACACTGACGATTCCTTGTATTGCATTGGGGAATGGCAGTGAAACGCTTTAAATAACTGCTTCTCATTTCTCCATAACCCCTTGCTGTCCGCCACACAACAGCACCCCTCTTAACTGAATTAACAATAACACCAAGTTGGTGACTGGGCAAAGGTAATCACACTTGTTTATGCAAGTGCTAGCCCTTTGTTAAGTTCAGCGCTCTTCATTGCAAGGCCCGCGTGCCACTGGCGGCCAATGTGTGGCCCATGAGGTGCGGCCTCCGACAACACACAAATGTGAAAACATTCCCCATCATCAACATCACCGCGCTGTAAAACCCCCAATGGTCTCAGATCTGTAGCGGCGGGCCCTCACGCTGATGTTGTCTTGTCGGCGAAAGTGCCCCCCCCCCCCCCCATACGCCCCCCCTTGAAAATTAGTGAAGAACCCTGGGCTAGTTCGTTGCACCTCAGATTATCACGGTTGGCTACGTACGGTGTAGAAATAAGTTGAACGTACGTACACGCAAGCCCCACTCTCGTATGCGAGAGCACAGGCTCCTGGTCGTGCTGGCTCGGTGCTCTGACATGCGCACAAATCTCGGTAATTATTCGGCCACCTCCCGCCGTTATACCCCAAGACTATTTACTGGTAGACAATTTAATTCCTGGCTGGGGTCGTAACTTGCTGTTGGATGCTTGTGGATTTGAATAACGGTTGAGAGGTCAGCTCAGTTCACTGTAAATACTCGTAATGTAAAAAAATTATGGGTAATCATTTGTAGGAATTCAGTCGTCATCTGGTTCGAGGTATGCGCTGATCCGCGTCGCCTATTTTCCCCACAATCCACACAACCTTGTGTATGTTGAACTTCTTTCGCGCCGTACGTAGCCAATCGGAGGTGCATCTCCATATATAGTTTGTTGTTAACAAGGGGACACGAGGGAACGTGACGTGCAGGAAACGTGACACGCAGGCAATGGGTCGGGATCCAACCGACGACCTCCTGCATACCATGCGAGGGAGATAACATCTTGCCACCGCGGCTTAACGAGGGGACACAGCACAACAAGGAAACGTGGACGTGCAGGCAATGGCCGCCATGATGTGCTGGAGACGAACGCGGTTTGGTACGGGGGGGTGGGAGGTTGGGGGGGGGTGGGAAGGGGGGCGGGGGGATGGCAGTGGAACAAAGTTTGAGAGAACAACGGAGCGTACCCCCACCGTAGTCAGGCACAAGGCCCGTGCCCCGCTTGAGAAAGAGATGCACGCGGCCGCTGCTGTTCTTGATGAGCTCGATGGCGCGGGCGTGCGTCATGTCCTTGGTGCTCTCCCCGTCGATCTCGATGATCTGGTCGCCGACCTGCGTCGACCCGACACGCCGCAGCCCCGTCAATAAGCGGTTCTCAGGAAACGAGTTTTCAATTGAGATTCAAGGTTGCGTAAGCTCCAGTGGCTTCCTTTATGTCGGAAAGGAAGAGGCACGCAAGCACGTTGTTCGGCACGACGTCCGGCGTTATGCTCCCACGCGCTTGGAGAACACTCGACTCGGTTCTTGAGTTGAATCCAGAACGTCGCATGTCATTCCGAAACAACACGAGGCACATCCCGAAGACGGCAATAATTTACTCCCGATTTACGTGACCTTACCCTCAGCTTGCCGGTGCGTATGGCCGGGCCGTCCTCAGCCAACCTCAGGATAAAGAGATCCATGTTGTACTCGTGGCCACCGCGCAGGCTGAACCCGAATCCCTTGAGGCCCTTTTCCAGGTCTACAGAGTAGTACTCTGCCTCCTGCACGCCCCAAACCGGTGGACGGGACGCCGGAACGCACGTTCAGGAGCTTTATCGCTCTGCAGTCACCTTTTCCGAGCGAGCCAGCACGCAATGCACGCCACGATCGATTCGGCGCCGAGCGACGACACGTGCGTAAGGTGGCGTGAAAGCACGGCGCTTCAGCGCGCCCGCACGTCGGCATCAAGTTCAGTCGTCGCATTTATCGTCGTCGGCGCCCCGGAGAGAGTTGCCGTCGGAATTCCACGTCCTCTCGGTAATTTATGATGAGAGATAATATCGATATGGGACCTGTTTTTTTTGCCAGTATCAAAGTAACAAGCTTAGGTTTGATCCTTTCTGGATAAAAAGAAAAATAATATCGGCTTGTAGTGCGCCGCACAGCATTTGCTCACTCTCGAAAAGAGTGAGCAAGGGTTTGGTTTTACACTTGAAGGGAGTGAGCAAGGGTTGTGGTTTTACACTCGAAGGGAGTGAGCAAGGGTTGGGATTTTACACTCGAAGTGAGCAAGGGTTGGGGTTTTACACTCGAAGGGAGTGAGCAAGGGTTGGGGTTTTACACTTGAAGGGAGTGAGCAAGGGTTGGGGTTTTACACTCGAAGGGAGTGAGCAAGGGTTGGGGTTTTACACTCGAAGGGAGTGAGCAAGGGTTGGGGTTTTACACTCGAAGGGAGTGAGCAAGGGTTGGGGTTTTACACTCGAAGTGAGCAAGGGTTGGGGTTTTACACTCGAAAGGAGTGAGCAAGGGTTGGGGTTTTACACTCGAAGGGAGTGAGCAAGGGTTGGGGTTTTACACTCGAAGGGAGTGAGCAAGGGTTGGGGTTTTACACTCGAAGGGAGTGAGCAAGGGTTGGGGTTTTACACTCGAAGGGAGTGAACAAGGGTTGGGGTTTTACACTCGAAGGGAGTGAACAAGGGTTGGGGTTTTACACTCGAAGGGAGTGAGCAAACGACTCCTAGGTCCAAGGAACCAGATGAGCGGGAAAGGCAGTCAGGCAGAGAGCCAGTGCCAAAACTCCCCCCTCCCCCCCCAAGCTCTGTGGTCCTCTACTTATGAAGGTGTTCTCGGCCAATTAATGAGAGAACACCCATGCACACGAGGAGGCAAGTTCTCTATCCTACACAGATGGAACAGGTGGGGTACACATTCCCTGTACCGCCTTCTCCTGGTCAGCCAGGCTACTGCGGCTTCCTCCTCGACACCGACGGGAAGGGCGGTTCGCACATTTGCGTGCGGTGATCCAACCCAACCCTCGCTGCTGCCTCCACGGTGCTGGATTACAGGCAGCCACGTGCACAGCCGGCACGACCGAGGCCGCCCGGTTGGCCGGCAGTCTCTCCATGTGTGAACAAATGTTGGCCTCACACAAAGGGGAGAGCTCGATCTTGATCAATTCCAGAGGAAAGATAAGCCGCGTCAACCCACTGACTGGGATTTGAACTCGTACCCTTGCTGATCGTGGAGGTCAGCTCTCTTGCAATTACACCACCTGAGGACGGTGTTTGATATTGGCTGGCCAGGGCAACACATTGTAGATGACAGCTAAACTAAAATCTTTACCCGGTCTCTCATCCTAACATCGGACCAATTTCCCTGGTGTGGTGAAACATTTTCAGTCATTGGAAAATATGGACAGGATGATATACGTTTAGTTCCCCATTGCGCTATAGTAAATTCTCTGAGTGAGATATATAGGTATATTTGTAGTGTTATATAACATATTAAATGCCAAATAAAAAAGTATCTTCTCATCTCAGGCAGATAATTCATTTTTTGCACTTCACTTATTTGTATAAATTGGATGGTTAGCGAGCGTTTTTTTTATATCTCATTTGATGCCAACATATCGAAAATGATTTGAACACTTAATGGATATACATTAATCCCGATACAATCGTTCACGAAAAAGTCAAAACCTGAATTTTGTGCAATCTAATATATATGTAATTACAAAAAAACAACACGAAAGCATGCGTTTAAAACCGCAACTCAAAGTAAAATGGCCGTGTGATTTTTTTATTTTTTTGGATGTTGTAGAGTAGAATGTCTTGATTTAAAGCTTTCGTGATTGCAGGGATTCATATTCTTGGTTCTTTCGGTGAAGTGACTTTACCGAGAGAATCAAGAGTATGAGTAGAATGTCACTCAGTTGATGTGGAGAGTTATATAGCCAAAGTGCAGCCTTAACATATTGAGGTTTATATTCTTAGCTCTTTCGGTAAAGTCACGTTGAAACCGACACACCTGATGACAACCGTTTGTGTTATGGTCGAAACGTCGTGAGAATTTTTATTGTTTTATATATATTATTATTATTTTATTGTTTCCCTTCAACGTGACTTTACCGAAAGAGCTAAGAATATGAATTACTGCAGTCACGAAAGCTTTAAATAAAAAATATTGAGGTTTGGCAAGTGCTGTCTAGCGAGCGCCGATGATGGGCAACATGGCAACCAAGTAGTGTGGGTGGCCAGCACGATGCCCGGCCGTCTTTGTCTCCCGTGCGGCGATGTTTGCTACGCACCGCACCGGGTACCCATTGGAGGCTGAGTAACGAAGTGCGGTGAGTTCAGCATGTCGTCAAAAAACGTATTAAAACGAATTCCAAGTCACGTAATTCAAACCAACCTGTCCAGGGTTCATGTCGGGCTTGATGTCCTGCCTTCCCCGAACTTCAAATCTGTCAAACAAACTTCACGAGTGTGAAATAAAAACATTTTAATGTAAAAAAACATTAAATAAAAAAACATTACATCATAAAGCAAAAACATTATGACGAGCATACCAAACCAATTAAAGCGCACACACATGAGACATTTCGCAAGGTTTGTGTTTTCTTGATTAGCCTTTCCATATTTTTACAATGCCTCAATATCTCAAATCCGTGCATTGTAGTATTCGCTTATCATAATTCCATTAGCACAGCATGATTACAATGCCATCCGTAAGACTGACATATAGTGAAATCTCTCAAAGCCAGATCTCTTCCAGTTACCACTGTGAATATTAAAAGGTTTGTCTGTGACTCAATAGCTTAGCTGTTAGGTAACTATTCATATTCCAATAGAAAAACTTTTTTTTAAATATGTAATTCTCATCAGGCCCCATGGTGTTATAGGCAGTCTCCAACTCCAAATAATTAATACACGATTACAAAGGTGTATTCACATTTACCTAAAATATCTTACACGTATTATTAATGCTTAATAACACAAAACGAAATATTGGGAATTTTACATGTACACTTTAAAAAGAAAATACCCTATATTTTTATTCGAGTCCCTTACCATCACTGTGAATGAAAAGCAAAAGGACTGATTCAAGATTTTATTTAGTTTTTGTTGTTCAATATATCGTTCAAAATTGAGACAGGGCGATTGAGCGAGCGTGCGGTGCATGAGCATGGTATTCAAGCGCACTGGTTCACCACATTCTATACAAGATATGAGCACAGTATGCGTACATTGCTTTCGAATTGCTCGTGCACATATGCAGGTCATCTCCTACCACGTCCAGCTTAATTATCGCATGGATAGTATTCCGGCTGAATTGTTATAAAGAAACATACAAAAAAACCGTGTTCATTATATGGGACCTTTCTTGTCAGTATCAAAATATAGGTTACCCTTTCTGGCAATAAAACAGTTAGGTTAAGATGTTAAAACACCAAACTGAAACCTTTTGCAAGGAACCCTGTCTGCATTAACCACGCGTACTTGCGGTGAACATGCAAACAAAAAAGCATGCTCTGATAATATATGGCATTGTCTTTGAAACTGATTGGGCCCCACCAGAGACAGCTTTCTTTAGAGCCTAGTCTCAAACATTGTTACACCAGAGGACCCCAAAAGGCAACCAGCGTTATATAACACCTTATTCTTAACACAACTGTTTTATTGCCAGAAAGGCTAAAACCTATTCTCATGTGGTTATTATATTTGAAAAAGAGCCCGGTACAGAGCACAAACTGTGATGCGGGGAGGGCGTGCAGAAATAGGTCTTGAACTCAGGACTGAAATAGTAACGAACTGACACATTTTCATTACGTGACAAGCCTTACTAATCGTCTGTCATGTGGTGGCCGGTTTAATGGCACATTTATATTTAAGCGATCTAACCCCCCCCAAAAAAACCCCTTAATTATGAACTTCGTGCCTCCTGGGTTTAGATGAGGGAGGGGACTGGGCTCACTGCCCTCCACACATGTGGGGCAGTGAGGCCAGTGTACCCCGCGGGGTACATTGTACTTTCATGTGGGGACGGGAAGAGGAGGGTAGGAAGAACTTAAGTAGGAAGACAGAGAGATAGCGGGGGAGATGTTTTAGAGAATTAATTTAGACGATTGATTTTCCGGCTTCCCCCCAAAATTCTGGATTCGTCAGCCTAGCTTTGAGATTTTACTGTCAGCCCCAATAGTTTATGAAGCTAAAATCATGAAGATAACCCAATTTTTTTTTTTACTTTTGTGTCATACATGAAATCAGGAGTACATTTCCAGACACTCCGATATGATTTTTTTGCGCTAATTAATTGGCCTGAGAGTATCTGTGCACAGCGCGATTATATTTTTCATCACCGTAAGCTCTCAAGAGCTGACCATCCTCGCAAAGAACCGTTTACATTGGAACACCCATTGTAATACAAAAAAAAGAGCATTGAGCAACAGCGGTTTTCATTCTCCCGCTGGCTCATTAAACTTTACGCTTTAAAATGATGCCGCAGAGAAGGGTGCGCTCGGAGTGTGCGTTTTTAAAAATGCAAGCATTTAATGAACTAGCGCCACTCCGCACGAGTCTGCGGGTGTTTAGCTGTTGCGACGAAAGGCCACGCAGACAATCTACTGGCAATGGGATTTCATCCAATTCCGCCTCGTTCTTTCTTTCCGCGCCCGTAAACGCACGCGCGGCAACATTACGTCTTTTTTTATTTGCAAAACTTAAAAAAAAAACGAACACGAAACGGTTGAAATTCAGGGTATTTGTATTTTACCGCCTCTGCGGAGAACCCTTCAACTGTGACTTTTGTTACCTTCGCTAACGGTGGAAAACAATTGAGTTTTGCGGAGAATGTTCCGTCTTGTATCGTGGGGCCTTTTTTTGCCAGTAGGAAAAAAACAGGAGGTGTTTTTAACCTTTCTGGCAATAAAACAGGTTTTAAGACGTTCACACACCAAATATATACCTTTTTGCAAGGAATCAAGTCAGCATTAACCACGTGATGCAGCTGCTCACCCCAAAGCTATAAACGCTCTGAAACATGCATTGTCTGTGTACTGTTCACCTTGTTGGCGTTCTCTGGTCTGACACTGGTAAGACTAGGTCGCAACGAGGGCTGTCTCTGGTGTAGGCCGTCTCTGGTGCAGGCCAATCAGTTGCAAAGACAATGCATATATTATTATCAGAGCATTCTGTTTGCATGTTCACCACAAGTACATGTGCAAAATGTATCTATTTGGTGTTTGAACATCTTAACACCTCCTGTTTTATTGCCAGAAAGGGTAAAACCCTATTTAAGCGTGCTGAACTTCTTTCACATTTGTACGTAGCCAAACCGTGCTAATCAGAGGTGCCCGTGTCTCTTTTGCTGTAATAAAAACAATGGGTCTCCTTTTCCAGACGGCCTGTGTTCCACTCTTCTGTGCAGCGGTCGGCATCAAGATGCTCCCGAAATCCGAAATTGCATTGCATGTTGTGGGTTTGCATCTCCCCGTAAATGTACCCCCCTCATTGAATTGCCCATTAGCGAGTGTAAACCATATCGCAACTATACTGGTAGGAACCTCCTGGTTACACCAGCCCACCAGGGATTATTGTGTCCGTCCGTCCGTCCATCGTGCATCCAAAAATGGGAGGGGTGGGGCTGGGTGGTGAGGGGAGGGTGGGGAGGGGCTGGGTGGGGAGGGAGGGGCTGGGTGGGGAGGGTGGGGAGGGGCTGGGTGGGGCTGGGTGGGGAGGGGAGGGTGGGGAGGGGAGGGGCTGGGTGGGGAGGGTGGGGCTGGGTAGGGGGTGGGAGGGTTGGGGCTGGTCACCCCGTGGTGTCCTTATAAAACTCAACGTTTAACCTACTCACGCCGGCTTGTGCCCGCCCTCACAGTCGGGCATATTTGCGGAATCCACCACGTGGTACCCTGGCCATTGACCGAGCAAGCCAACGTTCCTACCAGCTCCCTCCGCAGGAGAATGCGTTCACACTCCTAGCAGAAAGCCACCAATTACAACGCAGGTTGCCACCCAACCCTGAGCTCACAGACGCATCCCTCCGTCGGTGTTTGCCGAAACGTCTAATCAACTGACCGCATAGACGCGGCGTAACGGCGGTTGTACGCTGGTCGTACCAACAAAACTAACAGTTGTCCGTTATAAACAATGGGCATGATAACGAGTAGGCCAATGGCTCTGGAGGGACAAAGCAGAGAAGACAATTACCTTCCCTCTTGGGCAGTCGTTTGGTTGTTGGGCGCAACGGTGGCATTCTTCTCCGCGTTCACAAGCGACGGCAGCTTTTGCGATTCTGCGCACGTCAAACAAGCATCGGCAAAGGGCGTTCAGACGCGGCGTAAACGGGGCGGTGTTTAAAACGCATTGGAGAAGCCAACATCCGCGTCGTTGGATTTCAAAATTACTGTTCAGGTCTAACGAGAAGTACGCTGCGTGCAATCTGCATGCACAAGGCAGATTCGTAATTTAAAAGTGAGCAAGCGATTACCGGCACTTGTGAAACTTATTTATTTTCAGCGCGCCTCGTGGTTTTTGCATTTCTGGCCCTCATTTGCGCAGACGGAAACACACTTCTGGGTAAAAATGCAGGTGGCATGCGTCCTAATTGCTGTCTGAAGCCAATTAAACCTGTTATGCCTGGCAATGTGATGTCAGCAGGAAGGCAGTACAGCAAGCAAGGGAAAGTCGTGGACACCCAGCGAGGCTTTTTTTTTGGAAGGTAAAGAACAAACCGCGTGAAACAATTGCATTCCCGTGCTCAAGAGGGCCTCGGAGTGGCACTCGTCTCTCTGTCAGTAACCCTGAGCCAGTGGTGGAAAGTCCACGTTCCCACGGCTGTTGCCAATCTCTTCACAGGTCAATCGCTGCTGTCTCCCAATAAAAAAAAAAAACCAATGGGGCCGTTTCAATCCCCGCCGAGATTTATCACCGGTTGACGCTCGACCGATCGTGAGTTGAGCGGTGAAAATTTGATTTTCCCATGGAGGAGGGGCGGGAGGGCAATATTTTTGTAATTTAACCACCATTGAAAGAGCTGTGAGCGCTAACTGCACGATGGCAGCTCCCAAGCTGGCCAGCCGCGTGCAGATTTACCGTCCGGCGACGAGATGCAGAGCGTCACGCTGGTCCCTGAGTCCTTGATGAGGTTGATGATGTCGGCGTGCGACAGGCCCTGGATGGGCTGCCCGTTCACTGACAGGATACGGTCGCCCACGCGCAATCGGCCGCACCGGTCGGCGGGGCTGGCCGCGATGATGCGACCTACCAGGTGAGGCATCCCTGAGTCCACCCACGCGTGCACGTACGCGCACGCACGCACGCAACGGCGCGGCGGGGGGGGGGGGGGGGCAACGTGGGGGAGGGGGTGGAGGGAGGAGTGCCGGCGGCGGAGGTGGCGGCATCGCGATGCACCATGGGGAAATGGGAAAAAAAAAGGGAAGATGGGAGGTGGGCCATGGAGATGCGTTTACGTCAGCGGGGCGCAAAAACAAACAAATAAACGGAGCACAAATGTATGCAAATAATAGAGATGGCATAAATAATAATAGCAATGTAAAATGAGTCAACTACTCAGGATGTAACAAAAATTTAAATATTGGATAACTACGAAGGCAAGCCATGTATTAATTTGAAAACGATCACCAGTGCTTCATAAGCAAAATGAAAAATTTCTACAAATGATTTACAGAATACGGTCCTTAGTTTTTTTTTTTATCATGGTTTAGCTATAGGCCTTAGGTCCTTTGTGAAGATGTGATAAATATTTGGATATTTGGATAATATTTATAATTAGAGGACTGTATACTTTCTGAAAACACCTGAATGTAAGCAATGGCTGTTTTCCTTATGACTATACAACCTCACGAGTAGACTGCTGTTAACTGCGCTTGAATTTATGTTGGGCCTAAAATATGCACACGTACAAATACTTCTGAATTAAATCGTTCCATTGAAATCATTTACAGCTATCAAATAATTGTATATTTGTATTCTTATTACATAATTTCACCTGGAACATCTCATATGCATGGGAGTCCAGGGAAATTGGAAAGAGAGTCAAACAAGAAAGTGGTATACAACAAGTCATGCGGGACTCTCCAGGAAAATAGTTTTTGAGCGCGAGACTTTCCTGGCTAAAGAATGGATTTTTTTCTAAACATATTGAATTTAAATATGCCAAGTCATCGCAAGGGGCTTCTCTGGCATTTAAAATGCATTTATTTCACAAGTTACAGATTGGCATTAAGAATGACTCATATTTAAATACCGCACTGGGTTCTTTTGGATATGTTGTATCGGGCGCTCGCACTTTGTTGCAATGAAAACATAAAGAAATATATACTGCACGTGGGTCGTGCCAATTGTGCGGCAGCCGAGACAACACTACATTCAACAAGTGCTGCAAATCTTAAACTAAGGTGCCCTGAGAAATCCGTAAAACGTTTGCAAATTCAAGCAGACATTGTATTCCGCTCAGTTTATCATGCCGCAATAATAATGATGCCGTTTTCAGTAAAATTCTGATAAGACACTGTAAGTAACAAATTATACAATATTAAAGATACACAATAAAAGGCAGTTAACCGTAATTATTACAGTATTTTGGAAGGACAATGGCGAAACTACCATCCAACTACATAGACAAATGATTAACTACCCAATAAGGGGTGTTTAATGATTGATATAATAAATAAATGGATGAAAGTTCCAAATAACATTGCAAATTAAATTAAAAAAGAAGCAATGGAGGCCGGCTGTGAGTCATGTGGGGATTGGGAGTCGAGGGTTAATGGTACGGATGCCGTGAGGATGCATTTCTGTGCATGTATGGAGAACCTTTCACACAGCGATTTTTTTTTTACAGCGTGGCAGAGAGCAATTCTTTCCCACAGTATCAACAATTTAAGCGAGCAAATACACTCCATCATTTGCGGGAAAGATCTGGAAGGGACAATACAGTTCAGCAGCAACGGCGACAAAAGCGCAATGGCACACCACGTCCTGTGATGTCACTTCCTGATGGAATGGGTGCATTGCCAAGGGCAGAGGAGTATGGTTGCCAACCATATCTCCTCCGATTGGCTTCGCACCTCCGATTAGCACGGCTGGCTACGTACGGTGCGAAAGAAGTTAAACGTACATAATTTCATTCATTGCCTGGATTAAGATCCGGATTTCATCAAGGCCCTAAGCCTTTGTTTGTTTCACCACCACTCCTCGCCAATGCTTTCTTCTCTCCGCCAGACCCATGCAGCTACCGTGTAGTAGACACGCAAAACTTTCGAGGTCTGCCTGAAAAGTGTCCCAACATCTTGAGTTGTGTATTTACTATTTACCTTTTTTTTCCACTGGGTAAAGCCCACTGAGCTATTCGCTCTTTTTCAGAGGCGACCTGACCCACACATGATAGCTCATCGAAGTGGGTTATTTCATCACGCGTGGGAATTTATAGTTGCAGCCAAATAATCTAAACGAATGTTATTTCTCAGTGTGGAGGGCAAAGCCAGAGGACCTGGAGAAAAATCCATGTGGCCACCACAGGGAGAGAGAGAGGAGACACGGACTCCAAACATACAACACGCATCGTCAGGGTCCGGGATTGAACCCACGGCCTCCTGCATACCAGACGAGGGAGATAACATCTCCTCGCCCAGGAAGACGTTTAGATTTCCCAGGAGAGCTGCCGAAAAAAAAGGAAGACGATCCTAGCAAAACCGGGACAGGTGGCAATCCTTATGGGAACCATTGAACGTTATGTTACGGCCATCTTTTTAGTGGCCAGTAAAAAAGCCATATCTTTATCACATCGATGTATGCCAAACTAGTCATGTACAACAACAATGCAAAAGGCTCCCAGAGAATTGTTTTTCCCGTAACAAAAAAATAATCGCCGTGTAAACCAGGCTTTAGTTATTAAGGTTATGACTAAAAAGCCAGAGCAGAGGTTAACTGAATGAAATTAAAATTATTGTTTCAAGACAAGAGTACACGGGTATGGATCCATACTAGTGTGGCCCAAAGAAGCTGTCAACTACATACGTGTGTAATCAATAAAAGCTTCTAAATATAAAAGCATATGCATCGTCTGTCACTTAACCACGTACGTCAATGCAAGGCTGATAACGGCCATCTATTTACAGAGAATTTTACTGGTTTCAAAATAACGACACCTGCTTTACTAGCCATTGGCAGCGTTCCATGTTTTCTTGCACGGTGCCATATGGTTGCCTATCAAGTGACAAGATTACGGCGTGGCCGGAGGAAACGGGCTTGATTGAAAAATGGCACATTTGAAGCCCAGGGGCCTCACCCAGTGATAAACGACGAAATCGATATCGCGATCGACACCTGCCCCGCTCGCGAGCTGACCTTGAGATGGTTCCAAACATGCCACCGGCGGGGAAGGTGGGGAGGATAACGGAACGAGACATGCCCACAATGCCGGTAACGGCTACGTCGAGCAGCGGGGATAAACCACTGCTTGCGGATGAGTCGAGTTGAATAACGGTGCGTGGAGGATCGGATTAGGGGTTGGGGGGGGGACTAAATTCCCCCTCCCTCTCTGGCTGTCGAGGAGAGTTGGACAGCTCCAACGCCCGATGGAGATATCACAAAAGCCTGCGAGCACAGTCCTTGCAGTACATTTCATCAGAGGCGTTTCACACTTCGTCGGCTCTACGTGCTCAACGATACACGTGACGAATACGGTTTTCGCATGTCAATGTTACGGTCAAAATGTATACAACATTTAAAACGTCGAAGTTTTTTGTTATTTTCTTTGAACCTATCTACGTGACTTTACCGAAAGGCCCAACGAATATAATTGAAAACACGTGAAGAAATTGTGACGGTTTATTTCATGATATTTGCGATGTATTCTTTTGAGGTCCAACGTTATAAAACATATATATTTCTTGTGCCTAAAAAGGCTTGCATGGGAATTTTCAACGACGCCTAACGGATGAAAAGACGCAGTTATTTCGGTGGCGAACAAGGGTCTCCATAGCATCTTGCGAAGCCAGCAGCAATATTTTGTTGCAAAATCCTCACTGCTCACGACACCGCAGAAAGCCTAAACCAGTGCAGATTTTTTGGGCTCAGCTGAAAAAAAAAAAACACGCGCAAATGGTGCTGGATAATATTGGCTGGGTACGCCAAGAGGCTGATGGGCTGATATGTCTATATTCCAATGTGGAGACGGAACCTAGGCCGAGGTTATCATTTGTTAGAGGTCATTACTAAGCACCGCTCTGCAGCACCATGGGTCTTTATGAGCAGTGACCTGCTATACCTCGGAAAAGGCAATAGATGGCTGCAATAAGCCAGCTCAAGTGATGTATTTTGTATTGCACTACCCATACATTTCATGTATTGTATAAGGTTAATGGTAAATAACATTATATGCAAGTCCGAAATAATATCACAGCGGTTCTAATTACCGTATTGCAGTTTTTGACTTTGAGAGTACCATACATATGTACACGTACATATGCATACATATGTAACCATACATACTTTAGTGTGAAACACTGTGCTAATCTTTTAGATTTGCCGTGTGTACATAGGTGAATAAGGATAATTATACATATCCATATTCCTTTATTGCGATGTAATATTCACATGTGCATTCCCTTTAGAAGCTTTGGTTAATTTTAATCAATCTTCACATGCATCGTAATAAACGCAAATTTACCGCGAGTTCTGTAACGCTTCATCAATTTAACGAGCGCAGATTAAGGTACCAAATGTCTTTCTCACCCAGAGCTGGAAACACCTGGTGTCACTTGGGAAAAAAAAATCACAATTGAAAAGTGGTCAAAAACTCCATCTGCTCTCTATAGTGAGCAGACCAGGCTTGGTCGAGTCTCGTGATGCAATTATAAAAGCTCTAGGTGGATTAATTAGCCGGTCGACAGCTACTGTTAGCAAGACGGTCTGCAATTGGCTGCTTGGCAATCGGTTTAACTGGCTCTTTCTTTTTTCTTATCACGGCTAGGCGACAGCATCTGTCCGTCACGCTACTCGCGGAATCACTGCTTGACGTGACTGGGTTAAAGATCCACGACCCACAGACAATAATACGGCTCATCCTCGTGGCATTAATGCGCGGTGGGGGGAAATAGGATCTTAATAAAATGACGCCGACAAACGGCTGAAGTGATTGACAAAGAGCTTGACCAAGCCCATGTAACTTGACGACACATTTTCAGCCGCCATTTATAAATTCGCTGACGCAAAAAGGCTCGAGAGATAAATAGCGAGGGGATAATTTATACAGGATAACCGATTTGCTTTGGAGTATTTTTGTGTTGGCACTGATGCTGTTCTCATTTCATCATCCCAAGTCAATAATGGGCCCTTGTCGCCAATTGGCAAAAAATGTGCGATCGTTACGAATAAGACATTTGACGCCCAAGAAGGAGAGCCTTGATTTGAAGCTTTCGTGACCGCAAGGAATCCAAACTCTTTGGTTCTTTCAGTAAAGTCACGTAGGTATAAAATAAAATAAATCATGACGTTTCGGGCACAACACAAGCGTCCGTCATCAGGTGAGAAAGCACCTGATGACAGACGCTTGTGGCCATGACGTCAGAGTTCGGAACCAACAAGAAACTCCCCCCGGACGCTTCGGGGTGGATTTCCACACAACTCTCTCTAAAATTTACCAGACTTGCTAGGTCTCTCTCTCCCCCTGCCGCCGCGGGGTGGATGTCTACACAGCTCTCTCATTGACATGCTAATTTCTCTGCTCCAGCAGACCCACCTCTCTCTCTGCTCCACCCCCCCCCCCTCTCTATTTAAGGCCACGACACAGAGGCATTGGGTCTCTGTGTGTCTATGTTGTGCGTTTCTCTCTGTGTGTCTTTGTGTTGTCTCTCTCTGCTTGTGTGTCTGTCTGTGTGTCTCCGTGTCTGTGTTTTGTCTCTCTCTCAAATTTAGTTCTACCTGATGACGACTGCTTGTGTTTATTTATTTTCTTTCTACGTGACTTTACCGAAAGAACAAAAGCGTGAACTCAAATCTGTAAATAAATACGAATTTCAAACACACACGTGTAAAATCATTCAGAATTCTGTCAAAGTCAACTTCAGGGGCCATTCTCTCAACACACGAAGATGGTGCATCGCTAGCTGCAGCGTATGAAGTAGAAAATTCTTAATCTCGCGAAATAACGCTGTGGGCACAATTTGAAAGATATTCGGGTAAAAAAATGTTTGCGGCAAATTATTTCTCAAAGTTACGCGTAGGTAGCCGATATAGAACACCCCGGCTACATTGTAGGCGGTGATGCGAACGTTTGGGTGAGACACAGAGTCCGTTACCCGGACGGACACCAGGCACTCCGGAGCACATGACGAACACCTGACTATGGTCCAATTCGGAGGATTTTCCCAAAGCGGCCCTTGTCAACAGCCACCTGGTACAAGCATGGGTCAAGGTGACATGTCACGAACACCGTATGTTTACATGTCGCCGTTGCGCAGGGGGATATTTTTTTGTCTGTGTGGCAGCCAGAAGCCATTTCCTCAAAATCCGTTCACCCGTTTACAGATCCGCTTCATCGCCCGTGGCCGACATGCTCACCCACGATGGTGCCTGCCTCGGGCCGGCTGAGCGACGACACGATGACGAATCCGAAGCCCTCGTTGTCGTTCCTCTGGATGGTCACGTCGTACGTGAGCCTCCCGACCGACGACGGGAACCCCTCCGTCGAGATGACGGCCGCCGCCGCCACGGCCGCGGCCGTCGCCACGCTCGCCCGCGCCTCCCCGTTGCCCGCGCCCGCCTCCGGCAGCGTCCTGGCGCCGTCGCCCGCTCCTCCCGGCGCCCCTTCCGGCGCCGCGCCCGCCACCGCCCGGCCGCCGCGCTCGAACTCCTGCATGCTCGGGTGCAGCAGGCACGGCTCCGACGCCGGGTTCACGCCGGCCGCCCTCGCCGCCCCGCAGCCGTCGTACGCCAGACGAGCCGCGAGCGGGGCGAACGTCTCCGGGAAGCAGCCGACGCCGTCGCCGCCGACGCCGCCGCCGCCGCCGTTGCCGTTGCCGCCGTTACCGCCGCGGCCGCTCGACGTGGACAGGCACGGCGCCGAGCCCGGGGCCCCGCTGCTCAGGAGCGGAAGCGCCGACGACGCCGACGCCATCCCCGCTCCGAACGCCCGCCGCAGGTACGGGTCCAGCACGGGCAGCGGCGGCGGGGGCAGCGCCGGCGGCAGAGGGGGCAGAGGCGGCGGTGCGGCGCAGAGAGGCGGCGGGCCGCCGATGCTGCCGCCGATGCTGCCGCCGATGCTGCCGCCGCCGCCGCCGCCGCCGCCGAACTTGAGCTTGCGCATGAAGGCGGCCGCCTGCTCGATGCGCGGGGAGTTGTGCTGCGACGCGGACGACGAGGAGCTGCAGAAGCCGCCGTGCGCCTCGCCGCCAACTGCGGACGAGGCGACGCGACGTCACCGGGGTGAGTTTCGTTTCAGCGAAGCTCGTCCGTAGGCCGATCGCGTCAGGGAGCGTAAAACCGTCGCGCGAAACTCCGGGCAACCATCGCAGCGGCGGCTCCCGGCTAGCCATCGAAAAAAGACGGTGGCTGCGTCGCGCGTTTTCAGATGCGCTTCTGCGGCCGTCTGGAACGCTCTTCTTTTCCGACATTAGGAAAGCCACTCAAGCGATGCACTAGATTGAACTGCTAAAGAAATGGCAGAAATTCCACATTCCTCTCTATAGGATGGCCACTCTTGACTTGACGCAGAGTGGAAATCCTGCTCTCACCGGGCCGAGTCAACCCCCCCCCCCCCCTGATTTGTGTTTCACAACCTCGTGAATGAGCGTCACCTACCCCAAAAAATGTGTGTACGTATATAGAACTTTGTACGTAGCCAACTGTGATAATCGGAGGTGCAGGGGGCAAGGACAAAACAACTAAACACGAAAAGTGTGCAGGAACCCTTGTTGCACGTGTAGCCGTTGAAGAATATTTGGCTGCTATAAATTTCCACATGGTAAGCCACTTTGTTGAGCTACCATTTGCGGCCAGGTCGATTCTGGGTAAGAGCTGCGTAGCTCAGTGAGCCTTACCTGGTTAAATAAAAAAAAATTGTAAAAAAAAAACTATTAAAAAGAATGTTTAAATGGCCCGATTTGGCCCGGACCGCGCCACCTGCCCGCTTACTCGTGGGGATGACGGGCCGGCGGACCATGAGCTGCACATGCCCGTTGCGGGCGGCGTGCTGCATCAGAGCGATGACGTGCCGGTGCGACTTCCCCGCCACGATGGTTCCGTCCACGGACACCAGCTCATCCCCCGGGCGGAGTCTCCCGTCCGTGTCGGCCGCCCCCAGCGGCACGATGGCGCCAATGTAGATCTGGGTCGGGTCACGGTGACAACAACAACAACAACAATGTAGATCTAGGTCGGGTCACAGTGACAACAACAACAACAATGTAGATCTGGGTCGGGTCACGGTGACAACAACAACAACAACAATGTAGATCTGGGTCGGGCCACGATGACAACAACAACAACAACAATGTAGATCTGGGTCGGGCCACGGTGACAACAACAACAACAACAATGTAGATCTGGGTCGGGCCACGGTGACAACAACAACAACAACAATGTAGATCTGGGTCGGGTCACGGTGACAACAACAACAACAACAACAATGTAGATCTGGGTCGGGTCACGGTGACAACAACAACCACAACAACAATGTAGATCTGGGTCGGGTCACGGTGACAACAACAACCACAACAACGTAGATCTGGGTCGGGTCATGGTGACAACAACAACAACAACAATGTAGATCTGGGTCGGGCCACGGTGACAACAACAACAACAACAATGTAGATCTAGGTCGGGCCACGGTGACAACAACAACAACAACAATGTAGATCTGGGTCGGGTCATGGTGACAACAACAACAACAATGTAGATCTGGGTCGGGCCACGGTGACAACAACAACAACAACAACAATGTAGATCTGGGTCGGGTCATGGTGACAACAACAACAACAACAATGTAGATCTGGGTCGGGCCACGGTGACAACAACAACAACAACAACAATGTAGATCTGGGTCGGGTCATGGTGACAACAACAACAACAATGTAGATCTGGGTCGGGTCACGGTGACAACAACAACCACAACAACGTAGATCTGGGTCGGGTCATGGTGACAACAACAACAACAACAATGTAGATCTGGGTCGGGTCACGGTGACAACAACAACAACAACAACAATGTAGATCTGGGTCGGGTCACGGTGACAACAACAACAACAACAACAATGTAGATCTGGGTCGGGTCACGGTGACAACAACAACAATGTAGATCTGGGTCGGGCCACGGTGACAACAACAACAACAACAATGTAGATCTGGGTCGGGCCACGGTGACAACAACAACAATGTAGATCTAGGTCGGGTCACAGTGACAACAACAACAACAATGTAGATCTGGGTCGGGTCACGGTGACAACAACAACAACAACAATGTAGATCTGGGTCGGGTCACGGTGACAACAACAACAACAACAACAATGTAGATCTGGGTCGGGCCACGGTGACAACAACAACAATGTAGATCTGGGTCGGGCCACGGTGACAACAACAACAACAACAATGTAGATCTGGGTCGGGTCACGGTGACAACAACAACAACAACAATGTAGATCTGGGTCGGGTCATGGTGACAACAACAACAACAATGTAGATCTAGGTCGGGTCACAGTGACAACAACAACAACAACAATGTAGATCTGGGTCGGGTCATGGTGACAACAACAACAATGTAGATCTGGGTCGGGCCACGGTGACAACAACAACAACAACAATGTAGATCTGGGTCAGGCCACGGTGACAACAACAACAATGTAGATCTGGGTCGGGCCACGGTGACAACAACAACAATGTAGATCTGGGTCGGGCCACGGTGACAACAACAACAACAACAATGTAGATCTGGGTCGGGCCACGGTGACAACAACAACAACAACAATGTAGATCTGGGTCGGGTCATGGTGACAACAACAACAACAACAACAACAATGTAGATCTGGGTCGGACCATGGCGACAAACAACAACAACAACAACAATGTAGATCTGGGTCGGGCCACGGTGACAACAACAACAACAATGTAGATCTGGGTCGGGTCATGGTGACAACAACAACAACAACAATGTAGATCTGGGTCGGGTCATGGTGACAACAACAACAACAACAACAATGTAGATCTGGGTCGGGTCATGGTGACAACAACAACAACAACAACAATGTAGATCTGGGTCGGGTCATGGTGACAACAACAACAACAACAACAATGTAGATCTGGGTCGGGTCATGGTGACAACAACAACAACAACAATGTAGATCTGGGTCGGGTCACGGTGACAACAACAACAACAACAATGTAGATCTGGGTCGGGTCATGGTGACAACAACAACAACAATGTAGATCTGGGTCGGGTCATGGTGACAACAACAACAACAACAATGTAGATCTGGGTCGGGCCACGGTGACAACAACAACAACAACAATGTAGATCTGGGTCCGGTCACGGTGACAACAACAACAACAACAATGTAGATCTGGGTCGGGTCATGGTGACAACAACAACAACAACAATGTAGATCTGGGTCGGGCCACGGTGACAACAACAACAACAACAATGTAGATCTGGGTCGGGTCACGGTGACAACAACAACAACAATGTAGATCTGGGTCGGGTCACGGTGACAACAACAACAACAATGTAGATCTGGGTCGGGTCACGGTGACAACAACAACAACAACAATGTAGATCTGGGTCGGGTCACGGTGACAACAACAACAACAATGTAGATCTGGGTCGGGCCACGGTGACAACAACAACAATGTAGATCTGGGTCGGGCCACGGTGACAACAACAACAACAACAACAATGTAGATCTGGGTCGGGTCACGGTGACAACAACAACAACAATGTAGATCTGGGTCGGGTCATGGTGACAACAACAACAACAATGTAGATCTAGGTCGGGTCACAGTGACAACAACAACAACAACAATGTAGATCTGGGTCGGGTCATGGTGACAACAACAACAATGTAGATCTGGGTCGGGCCACGGTGACAACAACAACAATGTAGATCTGGGTCGGGCCACGGTGACAACAACAACAATGTAGATCTGGGTCGGGCCACGGTGACAACAACAACAACAACAATGTAGATCTGGGTCGGGCCACGGTGACAACAACAACAACAACAATGTAGATCTGGGTCGGGTCATGGTGACAACAACAACAACAACAACAATGTAGATCTGGGTCGGACCATGGCGACAAACAACAACAACAACAACAATGTAGATCTGGGTCGGGCCACGGTGACAACAACAACAACAATGTAGATCTGGGTCGGGTCATGGTGACAACAACAACAACAATGTAGATCTGGGTCGGGTCATGGTGACAACAACAACAACAACAACAATGTAGATCTGGGTCGGGTCATGGTGACAACAACAACAACAACAATGTAGATCTGGGTCGGGTCATGGTGACAACAACAACAACAACAATGTAGATCTGGGTCGGGTCATGGTGACAACAACAACAACAACAATGTAGATCTGGGTCGGGTCACGGTGACAACAACAACAACAATGTAGATCTGGGTCGGGTCATGGTGACAACAACAACAACAATGTAGATCTGGGTCGGGTCATGGTGACAACAACAACAACAACAATGTAGATCTAGGTCGGGTCATGGTGACAACAACAACAACAACAACAATGTAGATCTAGGTCGGGTCACGGTGACAACAACAACAACAATGTAGATCTGGGTCGGGCCACGGTGACAACAACAACAACAACAACAATGTAGATCTGGGTCGGGTCATGGTGACAACAACAACAACAATGTAGATCTAGGTCGGGTCATGGTGACAACAACAACAACAATGTAGATCTAGGTCGGGTCATGGTGACAACAACAACAACAATGTAGATCTGGGTTGGGCCACAACAACAACAACAACAACAATGTAGATCTGGGTTGGGCCACAACAACAACAACAATGTAGATCTGGGTCGGGTCATGGTGACAACAACAACAACAATGCAGATCTGGGTCGGGCCACGGTGACAACAACAATGTAGATCTGGGTCAGACCATGGCGACAACAACAACAACAATGTAGATCTGGGTCGGGCCACGGTGACAACAACAACAACAACAACAACAATGTAGATCTGGGTCGGGCCACGGTGACAACAACAACAATGTAGATCTGGGTCGGGTCATGGTGACAACAACAACAACAATGTAGATCTAGGTCGGGTCACGGTGACAACAACAACAACAATGTAGATCTGGGTCGGGCCACGGTGACAACAACAACAACAACAATGTAGATCTGGGTCGGGCCACGGTGACAACAACAATGTAGATCTGGGTCGGACCATGGCGACAAACAACAACAACAATGTAGATCTGGGTCGGGCCACGGTGACAACAACAACAACAACAATGTAGATCTGGGTCGGGCCACGGTGACAACAACAATGTAGATCTGGGTCGGACCATGGCGACAACAACAACAACAACAATGTAGATCTGGGTTGGGCCACAACAACAACAACAATGTAGATCTGGGTCGGACCATGGCGACAACAACAACAATGTAGATCTGGGTTGGGCCACAACAACAACAACAATGTAGATCTGGGTCGGACGATGGCGACAACAACAATGTAGATCTGGGTCGGACCATGGCGACAACAACAACAACAACAATGTAGATCTGGGTTAAGCCACGGCCACAACAACAACAACAATGTAGATCTGGGTTAAGCCACAACAACAACAATAACGACAAAAACTTTATAAACAAGAGCTGCCCGGGTGGTTGGCCGTGCATGAATTCTACACCGCGGTGTGACAATGATTATTACACTCGCTTGCATTCCAGTTGTGTGATATTATTATTGGATTCATGGCAGATTCGGATACCTTAAGCTTTTTCATAGTATGTTTTCATTGCTTTTGTGTGTTTATTATGCATTTTATAATAATTTTATTTCATTTTTTTTAAATGTATCATTCTTCATGTTGTTTCCATTGTACCAGTCGCTTCATTGAGTCCTGTAAAGCACGTTGTATCGTATTGTTTGCACGAATTGTGCTATATAAGTGAAGTATAAGTAAAGTTGATTGATCCTGTCAAGCAATCATGCAAACTCGGGCCATCCTCGCAGCAGCAGAAGCGGCTTTTGGCTAACCATCGAAAAAAGATGGTGACCGCATCGCGCGCTTTCAGACATGGCTTCCGCGGCCGTCTGGAACGCTCTTCCTTCCGATATCAGGAGGCCACTGGAAGCTACGCACTTTTCAACCTAAATTTAATACTCATTTCTTCAGAACTGCTTTTTTTTGTGTTGAGCTTGTTGTCTTTCCCCGGCAGCTCCGATTAGCACAGTTGGCTTTGTACGGTGTGAAAGAAGTTCAACGCGCACACGAAAACACAAACAGAAAATAAAACTTTGCGGTGTGCGGAACGTACAACGCAGACTCGACAGGAAGGAGACATGTCGCAGCACCACTCCTCTGCTCCTGACGCAATTCTCTAGAGCTTCATGACCACAACGTAAAACAATCTTTGTTGCTCGACATCAACATCGGCCGTACTAAGAAGAAGATTGGAATCACGTGAAGGATGGGGACAAAAAGCCGGATTTTTCACGGTGAGCAGAAGGTAACGTCAGATAATTACTCTTGAATTTACTTCAATAGGCTTAAACCACAGTTGGGTGGCACAACTGTATACGCTCCACTTAGAGGATGGTGTTGTCACAAAATTTGTTGTTTCATTCCTTGGAGATGGAATATGCTGAATTAAATCGGAGGGAGGGAAGGGGGGGGGGACGTCCTATGGATGTGCGGGCTGATAGCAGGTACGAAATTGCATTTGTATTAAAATTACATTCCTATTAAAACAACAAGATGCAATGTTGCATCAATTTTTAGGTTTGTGATATGTGCGTTCAAACTGTGTGAAAAGTTATATTTTCCGATTGGCTTATGTAATACATGGTAAGTTCATGATGCGACTCCCTTCCAGCTGCTAGAGGCTGCTAGATTCACCTCAGCGTTAACCAAATAAATTAATCATTGAATCGATGCACAGCTATTAATTACGAAAACTGATTGAATTGTGATCTTGACTAAACCGTGCACTGATTTTCAGTTGAAGGGTACAACCCTACCCTGTAGAAAAAAAAAAGACGTGTCATTTCCGCTCTTATTTCCCAGGCATCCGGTGGGGTTAACAAACACTTTTATTGGCATAATAATAATAATTATTATTACATGCGTGGGTTCACAATGCCTGGGCACAGGGGCTACGCACCGGCTCTCCTGGGTCGTCACCACCGAGGATGCGGAATCCAAAGCCAGACTCCTGCCTCTGCAGCAGGACGTCCATCTCTTCGTACTCGGGAGCTGAGCGGGAAGAACATTTGCGGAGCTGGATGAGACGAGTTTGCCCGCGACCTCAAAACCCCGCTTCGCGCCGTCAATTGCAATCATTTCTTTTTGTATTCCGCGGTGATGACTCAAAAGTCGAAGCGAGCATCAAGGCGGTGCTCGCCTCCCGTTCACAGCTCTGAGCCAGCCGTGGAAATTCCACATTCCTATAGCGAGGGCGAGCCCATCCATAGGACAACAGCCGTCAACCGCCCCACAAAGTGGGACTATCAACCCTGAAGGGATGATGGGCTGAGCCGAACCCCAACCGAGATTTGAATCGGGGGCAGCCTTCCGAATGTGAGCGGCACATTCTACCGCTTAGCCACCAGCAGTTTGGGGAAAATAAATAGAATCAATCGTACTAATATTTCGTGCAAATTATACATTTCTATTCGCGTCATTTACGCTGTGTTACGGGATATGACAGAACGCAAGTTAAACTCCGAGTCGGGGGATGACTCGGCCCATTGTTCCCTCCGGGGGATTATAAAACGAGTTTAACACTTTGTGGGGACGTGACATTTCCGCAATTGGCTCATCACCAACAGTAGAAGGCGGGTACTGACAGGGTGCTAATTTGCACATGGAAGCCTCTTCGACTTGACCGTGGCTTTATACTTTGCGTCATTAAACATTAACTCTGGCACGTTGGTGTCATATGTTCACATTTGTAAAGAAAAAAATAGCAAAAAGCAGATGAGTTCAGGTTTTCAAAAAATATTTATCCAATCGTAGATGGTTATTAAAATTATATCATTTCAATTATGACAGATCAGATTATTTTTTTTTCCAATTCACTTCTGGATGAAGAACCCATTCTCACGCCATGGAAGTTACAGTGGTAAATTGACCATACTTCACCGGTAGATTGTAACGCGTTGTGTGCACAATCTGTAAAGACGGAGAATTATTAAAAGGAGATTTCACTGAGCCACGTGTATTTTATAGTTAAGCAAAATATATTATTGAGAATTCATGGGTTAACATTTTTTTTCATTTTAAACGGTTGAGCGATGGCAAAGTGGTGAGCGCATTGCAACATAAACCCAGCGACACCAGTTCAATCCCCGGTCATGGTCAATGGTGGTATTTAAACCAGTCTTGCTTTGGTGAAGTATGGTCGAACAACAACAACAACAACCACAACAGGCAGGGAGACACGGCGTGAGGAGGGCCTTCATCCGACAGTGAATCAACGAAAAGGGTTATATACCACGTTTGCAATCAACTCACGAATAACTACTGTGTCTGTCGACAGTCATTTACTCGGGCCCTAAATGCAAAACACGGCTTTGTTTGAACGTTCCCGGCTTAGCAGCAATGCGTTGATGGCCCCTCGAACGCACCCCACCGAGACGACACGATCCACACACATTAATTCAACACATGCCCACCACGATGCGCGCTCCTTACAATGCGGCGTGCCTCGACATCACGCCTGTTTAGGGGGGGGCAGTACGACAATTTATTCAGCAAAGGGACATTTGAGAGATAAAGGTTTCACCTGCTGGACGCCAAATGAGTATGCACAAAAGAAATCTCCCCGCAGTTGCTAAAGATATCCATCTGGGTCTGATTGGCCACTGCTGAGTAGTAATAATAATAATTTACACTTCTAAATGGCCTCTCGTCTGGAGATCGCAAGGCGCGGTACAAAACACGCACAACACTCCGCAGGCTCACACCAATCAGATTCAAACACAAAAGGATTTAAGTTACGTGGAAAAAGCCCTGAAGAATAAATTGCGTCTTAAGGCGCGATTTGAATGGAGCGAGGGGGGAGGCCGCAGAGTGAACGTCCAGTGAAAGTGAATTCCGCAGCCTTTTTTCAGGCGCTCGCTATGTTTGCACGCAAGTATGTTGAAATTCTCTCGCACCGTACGTGGCCAACCGTGCTAATTGGAGGTGCGCAACGTCTGCTAACGGAACTTTCTCCAACGGTTCAGGGCAAGGCTATATGGGGGGGATGCTTGTCTTGTTGTGACCACATTTGCATAGCTTTATTGACACCGGGCCACAAGTTTTGGGCATCTCTTCTTACTTTCTGGAGCATCTCATAATCCAGAGAATCCGGTCGAGCTTGTCAAATGAATTTTACGGAGGGTGTACGAAAATTGGACGGATGAGGCAAACACGTAAGAAATACTGCACGTGCGTGACAAAACTAAGCCACGGAGGCAAATATTGAATGAGCTGGGAATGAGCATTCCCACGAAATGCGCATTTAGCCTGGGGTGCCCATGCGAGAAAAGGCCCGGTGTCACCCATCGTCGCACAGAGACGTGGCTTCGGCACGCACAACAAGCCGGACTCGGAAAACCGAAGTACTCGTGGTGAAACGCATTGGGCAAAAGGAGATTATTTTACATACGAGGGAGCAGCAGCATCACTGAGGGTCTTGTACTAAACTCAAGCCAGGGCAATGTGCCACGCCAGTTACATTGCAATTGTGTGTATTGTAGACATTAAGGTACAGATGTAACTTTTTATTTATTTATTATCAATCTATTAAATGCTGCTCACAGAGAACGGGTTTGATCCAAGGCCTTTTTTGTTGTGCTATGTGCGAAAGCGAGTGGAATTATTGCTAAAAATAGATCAAACATAAAACGGTCAATAAATAATAAATATCACATGCCATGTTTGTGATCTGCCGCGATGAAGCCATATCACACGTGTGACTGTTTAAGGCAGGTTTTCCAATTTCTTAAGGGTTTCGATGAACATACGTTTCAGTGTCACATCTATACCAGGACTTTAAAAAATTACACCGTATTTAAAAATGTCGTATAACCACCTTAACACAGTCTGATGCAGCTGTCGGTATTGAAAAGACCGTTTGACAAGTTATCTTAAGAGATGTCTATGCACACGTTCATAGTATCATATGATTGACATACATACGTATAACCGTTGCAAGTAGATCTGAGCAACTGTCAATGTGAAAACATACTTATCTATGATTTGAGTTTGATTACCACATTAAAAAAGTGAATAGAGGGAAAGAATATATATTTTAAATTTCACATCGTTTTCTTGCCTAAGTTATGATATTTTAAGAAATGGATTTCCAATAATTGCCAAAAGTTTTGCAGCAATAAAAAAACGGCATTGGCGAAAGCTCGTTAACGAAAGCGAGAGGGTGCAGACTCGTCCGTGCCTTTCACACGGTCTCATGCCAAAACATAAACTACCTTGCGGCTCCCTTTTAAAGTAACATCACATTTCATTACTCTGGAAGCGATTAGATTTGGCAAACTTGCGGGCATTAAGTTAAGATTGCGTTGGCATTTCCTGAAACCACTGCGGTAATTTTTCGTTTTCGTATTTTAGACATTTTTGCTTCGCAAACCCCAAACACCACCACCCTCTCCCCGCCTTGCTATGCGAGCGCGCCTGGAACGGAGCCGTCTGGAGATTTCAACCGAGGCCTTGTATTGTTTCGTTCTAGAGTGTCCTTTTTGAACAGTGAACTCATGGCCCCCTCTCGAGCAAAAAAAAAAGGTTGGACCGAAGCCATTAAAAACTCCACATAACGTGACACTTCACTAAAGCGTTTCTCGCATGCATAGAAGCCGGAGAGAGATGAAGGCCATTTCATGGCCACACAGGCGACCAAAACAACTAAAACAGCAGCTGCTCTTCCCCGGGGAGATGTCTAACACTAGTTGAGCTATGTAGGTTTTTTTCTTTTAGCGTGATAAGTAAATCGTTATTTTTTAAAATGTACATTTCCTATGAAAATATTCGCACAAGCAAGACATTTTTCGAATCACATTATAATTCAGATATAATTGGGTCTGGTTTTTATTTTATTTAAGTGAAAGATGGAATCTCACACTGCGAAAGAGACAATGCACTGAAGGGGAATATAAAAAAAACCATACGCATAGCTAAAGCTTCCACATTTGCATAAGCCCTCATTCATTCCATTTAACCATAAAGATGGCCGACTAATGTTTAATTCCCTTTAATTATCACAGGCTACGGATTAACAGTGGCATTGTAACACGAAAGAACGGATGGTAGTCATAACTCTCTGCATGCATAAAGCAGGGGGGGGGGGTTGCTTTCACGATTTTTATTGCAATCTCCATTTAGCACAAGCAAAAAAAATGAATCTCGGTGAATGTGTCGGGTGATCATGGTCTACTTGCCTATAGCTTTTGTCCACCTAGCACTCCACACTGACACACAGTCTAGGTGGCAAGACATCACAACATCTGTGACACAATAATAGCAGTGCTCACGAAATAGAGCTCACGGCACAGAAGCGATTATTTTACGCCCGCGCCTTTCTCAATCTCATTCCTTCTGCCGCACCACTAGCGTGGATTTTCCCTTTGTCATCCAAAAGATGAGGTTTGCACAACGCGTAAAAAAACAACTTACGTTCGATTACAGATAGGCCAAGGAGCATAGAGAGACCCTTGGTAAGGTTAAAGCAATTGAAATTGAGAAGCGCTGCCTCTGAGCCCGTGTAAAATAAGTGTAGAGACATCAAAAGGAAAATAGACATTCAAACAGGCACGTGTAACGGGTGATATGGTGTCAAGATAAACACGCTCATAGTTCATCATCAATGGGACAGACTTATTGTGGGTTTACGTGTGCTTGCGTGTAATCTGTTGTTTTGTGTGTTTGATAGTTTTCTTTGCATATGTTCAAATCCATGACTCTTAGAGTGTTTGTTTGACGCTCACTGGCCAATAAGAGAAAATGCCTAAAAATTGAAAATGAATGTTACTTAAAACGTCCCATTGATCTCAGATCTCTCTACGCTCTCTCTTCTGGCTCAAGACAAGGGCCATTGCCTGAAAAATCATCATCGTCGTCATCATCATCATCAGCATGGTCAGTCCACCCGTGGGACAGAGTCCTCCCCATGCCACCACCACCACCATCCTCCGCAGTTCCATGCACACGAGCCAATTTGTGACTCCACCTCCAAGTGGAGGGGGGGGGGGGAGACCTCAGACACCGTTCCATTCTGAACCGCCAGCCTCATTACGCATCGTTTCTGTTGTTGCAAGGCAGTGCCGTTCATGAACGCGTTTAGTTTTTCGATGCTAAATTACAGGGTGCTTCAACATTGTTTTGCCACTTAAATGGGACTATCGTTTCTAATGGAAAAAGAACGGATAATGCACTGTGACATGATAACAAATTGTATGTTAACAGCTTCAAAAAGTCAAAGAGTCTCTCCCACTTGTTTCGCCACCGTTGTCAACGCGTGCCAAGGTGGTCTACAGAGCCCGGAGGCAGCAGCACATTTCTTGTGGTATCGTTTCAAATTCTCAGAAGCGTTAAAACATTTTTTGTTCCTTAAGCACCGCCTGTGCCATCACGTAGTCGGAGGTGACGGGCGCCCGTTGCCGCGCCACCGCGCGGGCCACTCACATCGGAAGTCGTAGGTCACCGCCGCCGCCTCCTCGTAGTGCTGCGGGTCCAGGGCCCCCCGGCGCTCCTGCCCGTCCGAATGCGAGGGCGAGGCGGGGGGCTTCACGAGGCCGAGGGGTGGGGCCATGGGCGGGACAGTGGGCGGCGCTATCCTCAGTGGGGGCAGGCCGTACTGGGGACACGACGGGTTCTTTTGCCTCTCCGGCACCTGTGTTACAGACACACACACACACAACACAGCAGCAGCAAAGACACAAAGATTTCACCCCCCACCCCCGCGTAGCCTCGACAGACTGTCGGGGGCAAGCGCTGTTCCCGAGTAGCACCTATGAAGGCCGGCAACCACGCCCGGCCCCCTTTGTCTCCCGAGTGCCGACGTTTACACACCGCGCCGGGTACTCATTTGAGGCTGAGTCGACCTAGGGGACCGGTTCAAGTAATCGTCACCGGTGCTGGCCGTGAGCGGGTAACGAACCCGGGTGGCCGGGTTCGTGGCGCGGCGTAGCGCTAACCGCTACACCACCGCTCCCCACACACGGCAGCACACGAGCACAAACAGAAAGAAATCAAAGAGAGCTCCCCCCTATAACCGGAACGCACCTTTTGGGGCGAGTGCCTGTCAGTGGCGGCATGGCACGGCGATGTGCAGGGTGTGTGGTCGGGCTTTCGTTTCCACGTGTTTTGACGTTTACACATCGCGCGTTTTACGGTTGGGTCGGCGTAGGGGAGGGCACAGCACTGGTTAGGTGATGTCGCTCGCAATGGATGTCAGCCATGGCCGGTGAATTACCTTCTGGATGCCGGGTTTGTCATGCGTCCCGCTATCCACTACGCCTCCGCTCCCCATAGACCCCCCCACACACACACACACAAAGGTTGCCTGTTGAATCTGTGTGCACAGGAACCTATTGAGCAATGAGTAGGCCAGCCGCGGATGGAAGGGGTTGGTATGGCCGGAAATGAGCCAGCTGCTTTGTTCTCTCTGGTGCTGATGCTCACACACGGCACCAGGTAAGGCAGAGTCGACCATAGAAGCAAGCCTTGGACAGGCGTAGATTCCACACACCTGTTCCACGATTTAGTCACGGAGAGATTTGCCTACGTCTTTTGCAAGGCAGACGTTTGGGCAAAAGTAGTCAAGTAAAAGATGAATAAGTCCAAGAGTACTCCATGACCCTATGGCCAAAAAGCAGTGCTCAGTTTCATTAGTGAGTCCGAAAAAAAGGAGTGCAATTTCCACTTTCCGATGACGAGAAGCAATCTCCGCGCAAAATATCCACTTCCCACAAAGAGGCAGTTAATTTATAACCCCGCAGAGTTGACCCATGACCGGGATTTGAACTTAGAGCCACTCTCGTTGCTTGAGAATGGCTCTATCGCGGTGCCAGCCGTCCGATGTATAGTTAAGAAAAGGAGTTTGCACAGCTATTAACAACCCACTCTAAAGCAATGGCACACTTGGGTAATTTGCCGTAGCAATTACTAGGAAGCTGTTGGAATCTCCCCGCCTCCACCCCGCCCTAAACAAACTGGCTTAGTGACAGGGGCTGCCCTGCTCTTCTGGGTCATCCAGCTGTCTAAATGTCATCGTCACAGCGCTCGCTCAACTGATTTATCAGCCTCTCAATAATTAGGTGCATTAATCAGTCAAGCAGCCAGCCAGCCTAATGATCAGTGGAATCAATCATTTTAATCAATCGGATCAATAATAATCGTCTACATTCTCAGAATCGTAATTTGTCGGTTACGTGACCGAGTCATTGGTCGCAGACATTACTTAGGTCATGCTCGTTCGATGAAGTGAGAGCTCATTTTGATCCAAGAGACCCTGAACGAACTTTAACCTTTGACCTCGTTGAAAAAAGTGCTGGAAAATGTTTACCGTGGTATTCTTGTGCAGGGTTTTAGACTTTTATGAAATGCTCTACCCGATTGCCGGATTTGTTTGGAAAATGTTTTTGTTCGGTGAAGAAAAATCCTGGTAAGGTGTGGGAGACAGATGTTAACTACCTCACCTAGTATACAGGAAGTCATAGGTTCGATTGCGACCCTGATGCCTGTATTTTTGTGGTTTGCATGTTCTCCCCATGTTCGCGTGGATTTTTCTCCGTTTTTTCCCTCCACATTTAGAATCAACATGCGTTTTAGAGTATTTGGCAGCTAGAAGTGTTCACGTGAGCTATCATTTGTTGCCAGGTCACTTCTAAAAATGAGCTTACATAGCTCAGTAGGCCTTACCTGGTAAAATAAAAATAGTTATAGTTTTATACTTTAGTTCAATCATATGTCTCAATGGTCTAGCACCTGTATAAATAAAGAACGCCAACTGAAGATCATAAAATAATTGACATTCATAACATGAGCAATGGAATTAATAACTTGGCCAGGAGAGACAGACCAATATATCCTCTTGATACGAATTGAAAAGACACCAAACCATTCGACACGAATATAAAATGTGGATACTGATAAAGATAGAACAATACATTTAACCTGCAATATAATTGGGATGCTAAGATAACAACCTGCAATCATGGTGAGCATATTTTATACACAAAATAATTGGAACAAACTCCCGCCAGTTATTATAATAATTGTATTTCAATTAGCTTTCAGTGCCCCATTAGTTAATTTGTAATTAAGAGTCTGGAGGCAGTAGTAGAATGGGTTTAATCAGAATAACAAAACATTTCATTCCAACCCCTTATAAACATTTAACAAAAAAACTATACCTGATTAGATGTTCTCGGAGAGTAGTATCCTGTTGAAAAAGAATAGTACAAGGCAATTAAAATTAATCACTTTAATGTTATATTAAGAGATTTAACGCGGCGTAACTTTTTTACTTTTATTATTCGGGCGGCAGGGTTTGCAACGCAGTGGAAACAACACTTGAGCCTCACGGAAAAAAGGAGCTTGGGTTCGATCCCCGACTCAAGCGCCACGCGGCAAGCAACATCAGCAGCAAGCAGCAGCAGTGGCACGCGACAGCAGCAACAAGTGGCAGTAAGCGCCAGCAGCAGCAGCAGCAGCAAGCAAGCAAGCAGCAGATACAGTGAGGGAAAAAAAGCATTTGATCCCCTGCTGATTTTGTACGTTTGCCCACTGACAAAGAAATGATCATTCTAGAATTTTAATGGTAGGTTTATTTGAACAGTGAGAGACAGAATAACAACAAAAAAACCAGAAAAACGCTTTTCAAAAATTTTATAAATTGATTTGCATTTTAATGAGGGAAATAAGTACTTGACCCCCTCTCAATCAGAACGATTTCTGGCTCCCAGGTGTCTTTTATACAGGTAACGAGATGAAATTAGGAGCACACTCTTAAAGGGAGTGCTCCTAATATCAGCTTGTTACCTGTATAAAAGGCACCTGGCCACAGAAGCAATCAATCAATCAGATTCCAAACTCTCCACCATGGCCAAGACCAAAGAGCTCTCCAAGGATGTCAGGGACAAGATTGTAGACCTACATAAGGCTGGAATGGGCTACAAGACCATTGCCAAGCAGCTTGGTGAGGAGGTGACAACAGTTGGTGCGATTATTCGCAAATGGAAGAAACACAAAAGAACTGTCAATCTCCCTCGGCCTGGGACTCCATGCAAGATCTCACCTCGTGGAGTTGCAATGATTATGAGAACGGTGAGGAATCAGCCAAGAACTACACGGGAGGATCTTGTCAATGATATCAAGGCAGCTGGGACCATAGTCACCAAGAAAACAATTGGCAACACACTACGCTGTGAAGGGCTGAAATTCTGCAGGGCCCGCAAGGTCCCCCTGCTCAAGAAAGCACATATACAAGCCCGACTGAAGTTTGCCAATGCACATCTGAATGATTCAGAGGACAACTGGGTGAAAGTGTTGTGGTCAGATGAGACCAAAATGGAGCTCTTTGGCATCAACTCAACTCGCCGTGTTTGGAGGAGGAGGAATGCTGCCTATGACCCCAAGAACACCATCCCCACCGTCAAACATGGAGGTGGAAACATTATGCTTTGGGGGTGTTTTTATGCTAAGTGGACAGGACAACTTCACTGCATCAAAGGGACGATGGACGGGGCGATGGACCGTCAAATCTTGGGTGAGAACCTCCTTCCCTCAGCCAGGGCATTGAAAATGGGTCGTGGATGGGTATTCCAGCATGACAATGATCCAAAACACACGGCCAAGGCAACAAAGGAGTGGCTCAAGAAGAAGCTCATTAAGGTCCTGGAGTGGCCTAGCCAGTCTCCAGACCTTAATCCCATAGAAAATCTGTGGAGGGAGCTGAAGGTTCGAGTTGCCAAACATCAGCCTCGAAACCTTAATTACTTGGAGAAGATCTGCAAAGAGGAGTGGGACAAAATCCCTCCTGAGATGTGTGCAAACCTGGTGGGCAACTACAAGAAACGTGTGACCTCTGTGATTGCCAACAAGGGTTTTGCCACCAAGTACTAAGTCATGTTTTGCAGAGGGGTCAAATACTTATTTCGCTCATTAAAATGCAAATCAATTTATAATACTTTTGACATGCGTTTTTCTGGATTTTTCTGTCTCTCACTGTTCAAATAAACCTACCATTAAAATTATAGACTGATCATTTCTTCGTCAATGGGCAAACGTACAAAATCAGCAGGGGATCAAATACTTTTTTTTCCCTCACTGTAGTCCCCATCTCTGAAGGGGCGGCTAACATCGTCCCCCCGCTAGGTTTTAAAATGTTCCCCCCCCCCCCCCCCCCCCCCACCTCCGCCGCCGCCTCGCTCACCCTCGCGGTGGATCGTGACGATGGTCTCGCTGCCCGTGGGGCACTCCTTGAGCAGCTCCACGACGTGCGTGTGCGACAGCGGCCGCACGTTCTGCTTGTTGATCTCGGCGATGATGTCCCCCTCCCGGAGGCCTCGGCAGCGAGGGCCATCCAGGATCTGCTTGACGCGCTGGCCCGCCGGCGTGTCCGTGATGGTGAAGCCAAAGCCCAGCAGGCCCTGCGTGTGGCAAAACCGCGCTCGGAGGTCAACTGGGAAGAAAAACCGTGCGCTTGCATGGTTACCGTCCTCGCGAGGCACTGAATCGGCTTCTAACGATGGCGATAGTGCTCACGGCGGGCGCGCAGGAAGGAGCGCATTGATGCAGCAAGAGTCCCCAATGGCGAGACAATTTTGCAATTAAGCTGAGCTCCTCTTGGATCGATTCTATGAGAGTTGTCATTCCTCCTCCCACCACCGACTGACGGACAGAGCTAACGGTTTAATGCTTTCATCCTTAGAAAAGAGTAAAAAAAAAAACAACCCTTCAGTTTTGTATTCATATGCTTAGTTCTTTCGGTAAAGTCACGTTGAAGGGAAACAACAAAATAATAAAATATATATAAAACAATAAAAAAATTCTCACGACGTTTCGACCATAACACAAACGGTCGTCTTCAGGTGTCGAAACGTCGTGATAATTTTTTTATTGTTATATATATTATTTTGTTGTTTTTCCTTCAACGTGACTTTACCGAAAGAACTAAGAATATGAATTACTGCAGTCACGAAAGCTTTAAATCAAAATCCTTCGGTTTTGCTCAAGAATAAATCCGTGACATTGGGCAACAGATCACAAATGTCAGTGCCAGAGAGGTTGTTTGAGAATCGCACACCCGTTTGTTCAAAAGGACAAAGACCGTCAGCGAGACTTGTAAAGTTGAGCCATTAAGCTGGCTTTATCATTACAGAGCACATCTGCCAACCCGGCATGATTCAGGTGACGGGTAGATTACTGCAAAGCAGGTGGTGTCGAATCCTGGTTTTCAGAGCACATTAATTTCTTTTAATAACGCGGTTTAGAACCTGAGCCGTACACTCATCTCTCTTTAGTACAGCAGCAGCGTGTGCGCTAATCTTATTTATTTAGAATTAGCAACCCCCCCCCCGCCCGCCATGTGAAATAGTTATCGATTGTTATCCTCTGTGACCAGCAATAACAAGAGATCAAGGCCCTCCACTGTTGCCGTCTGCTGTGTTCTTGGCAGCTCAATAGCAATAATAGCATTCATAATTTAGGGTTCAAAATGGCCACACATTGAGGACATGCCTGCCTTTAGCTCCCGCTTATTGCCTTCCCTGTCTTGGTTTATAGGGGGTCAGAGTAATTTAGATTGCACTGCTGTATACCTACCTAGCCCATTATTGTTTCAATCTTATTTTCCCTTATATATTATTATTGTACCACATAATAAGAGCTAAATAAACGCGAATAGCAGGAATGTGGAACTGAGCAGGGCATTACAAACCGTCGTGTTTTACCAGTGCAGGATGTGTTTAAGTGTCGGAGCTACTCGACAAACCATCACTCTGTTTACATATTTAGACTTTAGAGACGTTTAACCTGTCTTATATTGAAACATTATTCCTTCCTCTGTGGTTCTTAATGGGAATGAATTATATATATTTGCTTGGTGATTATAATAACGCAAGTGCTTTTCAACTATATCCCACGAAAAATTCCATACTGAAAGTAAAGTCAAATATTTATTGAGTTACTTTTTTGCACTTCATACTGCCTACTTTTTTGTGACGACCTGTGGTGTTTCGATGGTGTATTGATGAAGACCACCGCAATGATGTATGGTCAAACAAACCCCGTGACTGACATGGCATGGGGAGGCCTTCATCCAGCAGTGCAATGTCAAAAGGATACAATTAATTGCTTGAATGTTGTATCGTTTCATGTGCATGGATGAAGATAAAGGCGCGGCCCTGCAATTTCTTACTCACGCCCCACCGCTGGGTCGACACTCGCAGGAACCCTAGGGAGCGCCTCTGGATGACATTTTGCCCATTCTTCCACGCTAGCCAGACACCCTGCAAGAGGTAGGAGTACCCACACTTTACCCCGCCGCACGCAATCTGCCTATCGATTGTGGCGTAAGCCCACTGGATGGGCAAAGGCGGAGGGGCACATGAGAAAGTTGCACCGCCGTTTAATCCGGCGACGCCGGGAGATCGGACCGAAACCGGCGTACCCCTGCAAGCCCTGTGCTCGAACCTTCACGCGATCACGGGCAGGCAGCGTCCCCGCGTACGCATACCAGGCATCCGAACCGCCGCGCGCAGACGCATCATGCTGCTGTGGTGGCGGTGTTACCTCGCCTGGTTATGTAGGCCGTGGGTTCGATCGTGACCCCGACGCCTGTACATTTTGGAGTTTGCGTGTCTCTCTCCCTGCGGCCGTGTGGATTCTTTTTCCTCTGGGTCCTTCAGCTTTTCACTCCGCATTTAGAAAACGTGCGTTTAGGTGATTGAGATCATTTGGCTGCTATGAATGTCTACATTCTAAGCCAGGTCCGCTTCTGAAAAAAACAACCTCACAGCTCAGTGGGTGTTGAGCTTATAATTATAATTTTTAGTGACTTGCTTACCTTCCCTACACTTTGCACTCCTATCGTACTTGTGGCATTGCGTTGTTGCTGCAACGTTCGGATCCCTCGAGCAGTTAAAATCAAGCAATTTCGCCGATTCCCATTCACTCTGCCGCCCTCGTACCTTCACTATGTGCACGGTCATGAGCTCGGGCTGTGTGGCGATGGAGGACGCCAGCGACACATTGTCCGAGTGCAGCAGCGGCCCTTGGAGCTGCCCCTGGGCACCGGGAACCGCCCCCAAGGAGGCCGCCGACTGGCCCAGCATCCCGTCCAGTGGCCCCAGCGTGAGCGAGCAGTTGTCGCGCGTGCTGTCCTGCGAGCTCACTCCCGACGTGGACGTCTGCGACGCGTGGTGGTTGCCGTTGTTGGCGCCGTCGGTGAGGCCGAGGCCGCCGCCGCCGCCGCCGCCGCCGCAGACGACGCTGCCGGTGCCCTTCCCCTCCAGCACGACGGGCTCCTTGTCGCAGATGGCCACCGACGTGACGAGGGTCGTCGAGGGGTCGTCGGGGTCGAAGGGCAGCGGGTAGCCGCGGCACAGCTGCAGGCCGACCTGCTGGCCGATGGGGATGGCCTGGAAGATCTTCACCACCTCCGCATGTGTGTAGCCCAGCACGCAGGTGCTGTTCACCGAGACGATCACGTCGCCTGCGGCGACAGGGGCAGATGGCGCGCGCACACACATGCACGTGGCTCATCGAGAGGGGCACTGGGACGATGCAGGAGGATCCTGCGGAAATCGCGCCGAGATGACCTTCACCACCACCACCACCATCGCCACGAACACCGCCACCGCCACCACACGCGTCCTCCTCAACCCAACTTCCCTTAAAACACTGCAGACCGGAAGGTAGTGTAAAAGCTGTTAAAGGCAGTTGCCTACAAACTTTGAGACAAAGACGGACATCCATTTGCATGTATGCTGAACTTCTGTCGCGCCGTACATAGCCAACCGTGCTAATCGGAGGATATCTGCAGTGTCCCTTCAATTAATTTTCTTCCTGGACCACCTTGGATATGCTACGTGGACACCCAAGGCTACTTGATGCCCCAGCTTTTAAATCATTCCCATGGTGGTAAGATGTTAACTATATCGCCTGGTATACAGGAGGTCGTGGGTTCCATCCCAATCCTGACGCCTGCTGTATATTTGGAGTTTGCGTGTTCTCCCTGTGGTCGCGTGGATTTTTCCCCGGGTCCTCAGTTTTTTTTCCTCCACATTTAGAATCAACATCACGCGTTTAGTGTATTTGGCTTCGATATAATGTCCGCATGATGCGAAGCCACTTCGTCGGGCTATCATTTGTGATGGCCATTTCGCTCCTGAAAAAGAGCTGTATAGTTCAGTGGGCCTTACCTGGTAAAAAAAAATTAGTTTAGTTAAAAATTGTTTTGGTTTATTCCCATGCTCCTCCAGTTTGGTGGAAAGGCAGGAGGAGAGAAACGAGTGTGATAGGAGGGGGTATGCTCATCAACAATAAAAAAAAAATGTTTTCATAATTAATCACCGCCGCTGCAAGTTTATTACAAGTTTGCAGTATTAACTAATTTACGTTTAAGTTATGCTTATTGAAAGCAATGTGTGTGTGTGTGTTTTAACTCGTTGAAAGAAATACAGCCTTGGTCATTCAGGGCTTGGTCCACGGAAAGTGAGGGCTCAGAGGAGGAGAACAACGTAGACTGATGAAGCTGTTTGCGTGGGAAGCGCTCTGGTGCCAGGAGAGGTAATCTCTGCCGAAAAATCATAATCAGAAGTGTATTTATACTGGAGGAATCTGATGAGCTATTAAGCTCTTTTTCAGAGATGTCCAGTATAAGACAGAGCCCCTGCGGTGTCGGAGAGTCCAGCAAAAATTGTGTGCCGTTGTGGTTTACGACGACTCGACATCTGGACATCTGTGAAAAGAGCTTCATAGCTCATCGGATTCCATCCAGTCTAAATAAAGATTCTGCTTCTGATTACGACTGCGTGTCCATGGTCTCATAAGTGTAAAGTGGTGATCCCATTAATGAATGGTTAATTCACTCCACTCCCCACCCCTTCCATCTCCAGGGATCTTCTAGGGTAGCATATTTTAATTAATAAAAATAAATATGTACCGCAAGCACTACAAATCACAAGTGAGATTGCACTTCACAGCTCTGCAGTGATGATGATGATGATACTCCCGAGTCATCCTGGCTTTCAACGATGTAATTGAGAAACCGTCATTAACATATTGTAAAGCCGTCGCAGTATTTGGTCACAATTGATTCTGAGCGACCACAATTAGCAAACACCTCGTTCTTTCCACCATTGTATTTAGAGCGTGTGTGTTTTGATTTGATGGACTACTCATTCGTCGCACTATCGACCAAGATTGCTTTTAATAGGATTAAACTCACCTAGGATCAGCATCGAATTGCTTGGAATTGATTCTCAATCAAAATGACAAATCTTTACAAATGCACTTCCAGAGCTTCAGAGGATTGCGCTGACCTGGAGCAATAAACCTGGAGGGTTGCCACGGTCGCGAGATGTTAACCACCTCGCCTGGTACACAGGAGGTTGTGGATTCGATCCCGACGCCTGCTGCTGTATATTTGGAGTTTGCATGTTCTCCCTATGTTCGCGTGGAACTCCGGGTCCTCCGGTATTTCCCTCCACATTTATAATCAACATCACTCGTTTAGAGTGTTTGTCTGCGATGAATTTACACACGACAAGCCACTTCGTTGAGCTGTCATTTGTGGCCAGGTCGCTTCTGAAGAAAAAGCGCTATATAGCTCAGTGGGCCTTACCTGGTCAAATACAAATTTTTAGTTTTAAACAATCTACCCTCAGAATCACCTCAACTCAGACTTTGCTGCAGAATTTTGTTTTTTGTTCTGTTCGCAAGTCACATGCTAAATTAACCAAAAGCACCTGCTATAAACTTAACCAAATAGTTTCACCGGATATAATTGATCATACTCTTTGGTTCTTTCGGTAAAGTCACGTGGTTAGAAATAAAACGAAACAAATCATTGATTTGATGCGATTTGTTTTATTTGTATTTCTACCCACGTGACTTTCCAGAAAGAACCAAAGAGTGTGGATTCCTGCAGTCACGAAAGCTTCAAATCAAGATCGATAATTTATCATCTTAACTAACAAACAAAAAATATACGATTAAAGTACACAGGTTGGATGCGCTAAGAAATGTAGGCTATTCATAGCTACGCATAGCAACTTTATGTCACGTAAGTTGTATAAAAAAATAATGTATAGCTACAGGGGAGGTGTTGGCCATCTCTAAATTGCCGACGACATGGCCATTTCAACAACCAATGAGAATGAATTACAGGAAATGAATTGCTTTAACAAAGAGTCTGCAACGTTGAAGTCAAGGCGACTACAATGTATACAAAATTAACGCACAACAAGTTTTATTAACACAATAATTGTGTGGGGAGAGGGCAGCTGGCCACCACTGCTGACAATGCGTATGTCAGCACGCAATCATTGCTGGCACTTTTTTTTAAATCAAAACAATGAAATTAAGGGGTGAATAAGAACATGACGAGAGAGAGAGAGAGAGTTTTTGTTTTTTGTTGCCAAAATTAAATTGATAAAAGCAGAGCAACGTAGCAGTGTTCCTGAAGAGGACTAACATTGAATTGAGTGCATAACCTTGCGTGGACACTGGCAATAAAGTACAGGACGTAAGTTGAAGCCTGTGCACAAAACAATTACGGAGAGATGCATATACTGTAAAACCTTGGATTGCGAGCATAATTCGTTCCGGAAACGTGTTTGTAATCCAAAGCACTCGTATATCAAAGCACAACGTATATCAGTCGTGATCACGTGACGCTCGGCAGACAAAGCGTATACGTACTACTCGTATTGCAAGACCTCGCTCGTTTATCAAATTAATATTTATTTAACATTTTGCTCGTCTTGCAAAACACTCGCAGACCAAGTTACTCGCAATCCAAGGTTTTACTGTACTTTAAATTAAACCGAGAGGGCGACGGGAACAACACACGGATCCGAGAACACGTGCAAGCTAGAGACGTCACGTTGACTGTTGAGGAAAGTAAAGGGGCACCATGGTGGGGATGTTAACTCCCTCGCCCTGACGCCTGCTGCTGTATATTTGGAGTTTGCGTGTCTCTCTCTCATCACGGTGGCTAGGAGATGTTAACTCCCTCGCCTGGTATACGGGAGGTCGTGGGTTCGATCCCGACCCTGACGCCTGTTGCTGTATATTTGGAGTTTGCGTGTCTCTCTCTCATCATCATCACGGTGGCTAGGAGATGTTAACTACCTCGCCTGGTATGCAGGAGGTCGTGGGTTCGATCCCGACCCCGACGCCTGCTGCTGTATATTTGGAGTTTGCGTGTGTCTCTCCCCGTGATCGTGTGGATTTTCTCTGGGTCCTCCGGTTTTTCCCTTCACACTTACGCAGAATCAACGTGCATTTCGAGTAATTGGCTGCTATACATTTCCACGCGATAAGCCACTTCGTTGAGCTGTCATTTGTGGTCAGGTCACTTCTGAAAAAGAGCTACACAGCTCTTTACCTTACCTGATGAGATAAAATAGGTAGGGTAGTGGGCTTGGTAAGGACGCGTTGCGAGGAGAAGCAATGGCTGATTAATGAGATTCGGATGGCCATCGAACAAAGAAGTACTTCTGCGGCCGTCTGGAATGCTCTTCCTTCCGATATTACGAAGCCACTTGATCCATGCACTTTTTTCGCATCTGGATTGAAAGCTAATTTCATTAGAACTGCTTTTTTGCGTTTAGTTGGTTGTTCTTCCCCTGCACCTCCGATTAGCACGGTTGGCTACGTACGCCGCGAACGAAGTTCAGCGTACATGGTCGTCGAATGGCACAATGAGTCTGAGAGGCTCGCCCGATGCGGAGATGGAGCAATCAGTGTAGCTCATGCCTCATGAGCAGGAGTGAAAGAATGCGTGGCATCGGGGTGATGAGTCCTTCATCAAGCAGTGGATTACAAATGGCTGATGACGAATTAAAGTATTTATTAATCACTAAACTCGTGAGATTCCCTTTTGTAAGTGAGGATAGAGATTTTTTGTAAAAATAATAGGAATACAACACGCTGCTGCTGCTGCTGCCGCGACCCTCACCAGGACAAGCGGACTGAGAAACGAACGAACGAAGGACTACAACAAATGACCAAGTAATAATAATATTTGGGGATTGGACTAATGGACACCGTGATTATTAATTGTTGTAGAGGATGTCAGAGAGTCTTTCTTGTCTAATTCACAGCAGTTGGCTCGCTTTGATAATATCTAACATCAATTACTTTCACGGGAGGCCCTGATAATTGAACTATCGATCTTACGCAATGTGTCTCAGTGTCTACTGTACCCAATCCATTCCCAGACTTTCCAATGGTTAACCCCCCCCCTGCCCCCCCAGTTTATTCAACAAAAAAAGCAAAAAATAAAAATGCATAATCAGTTGCATTACTGCAAAACAATGCTCCGAATGAAAATTGAAAAAGTTAAATAAAAACTGCCAAAGTGATTTCCCACCCAAGTGAGTTAGAGGCAGTGTTAAGCTTCCATTTACAGAAAGCGATCGCGAAAACTATACATTCTTATGGCTGGGACAAGTCTATCCAGCGGACAATCACTGATGACTACCC